GTTTGGGTATGGTCTGTGGATTTAACACACGCTGTGGGTTGGGCATGGTCTGTGGATTTAACAAACGCTATGGGTTGGGCATGGTCTGTGGATTTAACAAACGCTATGGTTTGGGTATGGTCTGTTGATTTAACACACGCTATGGGTTGGGCATGGTCTGTGGATTTAACAAACGCTATGGTTTGGGTATGGTCTGTGGATTTAACACACGCTATGGGTTGGGCATGGTCTGTGGATTTAACAAACGCTATGGTTTGGGTATGGTCTGTGGATTTAACACATGCTATGGGTTGGGCATGGTCTGTGGATTGAACACAGGTCTGTAGATTTAACACGCTATGGATTGGACATGGTCTATAAATTTAACACACGCTATGGTTTGGGTATGGTCTGTGGATTTAACACAGGTCTGTAGATTTAACACACGCTATGGATTGGACATGGTCTGTGGTTTTAACACACGCTATGGGTTGGGCATGGTCTGTGGATTGAACACAGTTCTGTAGATTTAACACACGCTATGGATTGGACATGGTCTGTGGATTTAAAGCACGCTATGGGTTGATCATGGTCGGTGGATTGAACACAGGTCTGTGGATTTAACACACGCAATGGATTGGACATGGTCTGTGGATTTAACACACGCTATGGGTTAGGCATGGTCTGTGGATTTAACACACGCTAAGGGTTGTGCATGGTCTGTGGATTGAACACACTGCATGGGTTAACCATGGTCTGTGGATTGAACACACTTCATGGGTTGAGCATGGTCTGTGGTGTGAACACAGGCTGTAGGGTGGGTATGGTCTGTAGATGTAATATGCTTTGGGTTTAGCAGCGACTGTAAAAACACGATTTAAAACTATGTTTTATTCTACCAGGTAAGGCCTGCTGAGTTATATAGCTTTTTCAAAAGCCATCTGGACATAACTGATAGCTCAACGAAGCGGTGTATGTGGAAATTTATAGCACCCAAATACTAAAATTTAACACACACCAGGGATTGAGTATGGTCTGTAGATTTAACACACGCTATGGGTTGGGCATGGTCGGTGGATTTAACACACGGTATGGGTTGGGCATGGTCTGTGAATTTAACACACGTTATGGGTTGGGCATGGTCTGTGGATTTAACACACGCTATGGGTTGGGTATGGTCTGTGGATTTTTACACACACTATGGGTTGGGTATGGTCTGTGGATTTAACACACGCTGTGGGTTGGGTATGGTCTGTGGATTTAACACACGCTATGGGTTGGGTATGGTCTGTGGATTTAACACACGCTATGGGTTGGGCATGGTCGGCGGATTGAACACAGGTCGGTGGATTTAACACACGCTATGGATTGGACATGGTCTGTGGATTTAACACACGCTATGGTTTGGGTATGGTCTGTGGATTTAACACACGCTGTGGGTTGGGCATGGTCTGTGGATTTAACAAACGCTATGGGTTGGGCATGGTCTGTGGATTTAACAAACGCTATGGTTTGGGTATGGTCTGTTGATTTAACACACGCTATGGGTTGGGCATTGTCTGTGGATTTAACAAACGCTATGGTTTGGGTATGGTCTGTGGATTTAACACATGCTATGGGTTGGGCATGGTCTGTGGATTGAACACAGGTCTGTAGATTTAACACGCTATGGATTGGACATGGTCTATAAATTTAACACACGCTATGGTTTGGGTATGGTCTGTGGATTTAACACAGGTCTGTAGATTTAACACACGCTATGGATTGGACATGGTCTGTGGATTTAACACACGCTATGGGTTGGGCATGGTCTGTGGATTGAACACAGGTCTGTAGATTTAACACACGCTATGGATTGGACATGGTCTATGGATTTAACACACGATATGGGTTGATCATGGTCGGTGGATTGAACACAGGTCTGTGGATTTAACACACGCAATGGATTGGACATGGTCTGTGGATTTAACACACGCTATGGGTTGGGCATGGTCTGTGGATTGAACACAGGTCTGTAGATTTAACACACGCTATGGATTGGACATGGTCTATGGATTTAACACACGCTATGGGTTGGGCATGGTCTGTGGATTTAACACACGCTATGGGTTGATCATGGTCGGTGGATTGAACACAGGTCTGTGGATTTAACACACGCAATGGATTGGACATGGTCTGTGGATTTAACACACGCTATGGGTTGGGCATGGTCTGTGGATTTAACACACGCTAAGGGTTGTGCATGGTCTGTGGATTGATCACACTGCATGGGTTAACCATGGTCTGTGGATTGAACACACTTCATCGGTTGAGCATGGTCTGTGGTTTGAACACAGGCTGTAGGGTGGGTATGGTCTGTAGATGTAATATGTTTGGGTTTAGCAGCGACTGTAAAAACACGATTTAAAACTATGTTTTATTCTACCAGGTAAGGCCTGCTGAGTTATATAGCTCTTTTTCAAAAGCCATCTGGACATAACTGATAGCTCAACGAAGCAGTGTATGTGGAAATTTGTAGCACCCAAATACTAAAATTTAACACACACCAGGGATTGAGTATGGTCTGTGGATTTAACACACGCTATGGGTTGGGCATGGTCTGTGGATTTAACACACGCTATGGGTTGGGCATGGTCTGTGAGTTTAACACATGCTATGGGTTGGGCATGGTCTGTGGATTTAACACAGGTCTGTGGATTTAACACACACCAGGGATTGAGTATGGTCTGTGGATTTAACACACGCTATGGGTTGGGCATGGTCTGTGGATTTAACACACGCTATGGGTTGGGCATGGTCTGTGGATTTAACACACACCAGGGATTGAGCATGGTCTGTGGATTTAACATACGTTGATTTTGCATGTTTTATGTTCTCTCGTAATTTCTTGCAGGCAAAGTAGCTGAAACGTCGAGATTCGTTATTGCCGTTTCCAATTCGTACTGTATAAGAGCTTACTTGAAAGTATTCAGTAAAATACTCATTCACTGCAAAAGTTAATGAGCACCCCGCACGATGCGAACACATCAGCACTGGGGAGACAAAGGTGGCCGAGCATGGTGCTGGCTCCACCACCCCCTGGTTTCGCCGCGAACCCCGTAATAGGTGCTTGCTAACAGCATTTCCTCAACAATGCGTTTGATTTGTAGGGGGATTCTAGATGATTCAGTGTCAAAACATTTATTCACCTTCCACAAATTTGGCACCTATCCCTTGCATAGCCTCACACGGTATACTATCATGTACAACACGTGGGTCTTGAAGGAGTGTGTGCGGTCCAGGGTCACTCCAAGGTAGATGAAGTTGGTGCTGCGAGTCAGGGGAATGTCATTCTCGGTGACCTTTTACGTTTTTTTTACATCACCGTTATGACCGACCTGTCTTGCTTGGGTTTTGCCGGAGCTGGTTGGTGTCAGGGTGTGCTCAATTTTGGCGAAGTCTCCTGCTTGCGTTGCAATTATCAGGTTATCGGCATAGATGAAGCTGTATGTGGGTAGAAAGTTTGATCTTTGTGTAGATCTTGAGGGGTATCAGAACACTTCCTTGTGGTAGTCCATTCCACTGCATTTTGCTCCAATAATTCAATCAGTGACAGAATTATTCCGACTCGGTGGTGGTACTTTGTCAGGCTGTAGATCTTTGAAAGGAGAATTATCTGGTTAACAAGTGGCATATGCTGCTGATAGGTTGACCAAGGCGACACCAGTAATTTGGTTGTTCTTGAAACCGTCTCTTATGTACTGGGTGAGGTTTAGCACTTGGCCAGTGCAGGACTTGCGCGGCTGGAAATCAGATTGTTCTGGAAAGAGTTGTTCCTCCAGTATAGGTGATTGCTGCTTCAAGATAAGTCTCTCAAAAAGTTTGAAGAGGTAGCAGAACAAGGCCATTGGTCAGACGCTCTTAGGGTCAGATGGGTCTTTTCCTGGCTTTGGAAACGTGACAAGTCTTCCGTGTCTTGGGTATGAGCACAGAAATTTAACATTCTCAAGAGCCAATCCCTTGTTTTTAGTGCAACATTCTTTAACTGTTCAGTGCAGATGTCCGAATGCCTGCTGCCTTGACAGTCTTTATACCCTTGATGGCTTCCAGTGCCAATAAAGACCGGTAAACTCTTTCCACTGCAGTTCATCCAGCATTAGCCTATGAGTCTTGCAAACATTAAAACTTTTCAACATATAACATTCACCATGTATATGCTTTCGGTAAAATGAAAACAAAAACTATTAAATAAATGAACTATTAACATTATCATGAAAACCAGCACTGTTCAATTACTCTGCATGACATTTTGCAAAGCACCAATGTTGTGGGTAACGGCTACAAATTGACAACTTTTATGACAAAGTTTATCTCACAAATTAATCAGGAAATAACATTTTAAAAACCATAATCAGTATAGATTATCACAATGTGATGTTATTTTGGAAATGGATAGTGTTATTTCGTAATTGCTTATGCCTATAAAGTAGAGAAAATGGATATTATTCCACACAAACTTTGTTACCAAAGCACATACTTTGCTTTTGAGGGGGGGGGTCGACAATTTTCGGGAACCTTTTATATCAAATATTTACTCCCCAATTTCTTAACTCTTTAGACTTCTGCAAGCCTCTTATAATTTTGTTAGTGGAGAAATGGGCAAACGGCCCACCAGGCTTTCACAATAGCTGAGTATCTGTGTATGTATATGTAATGCTTCCACAGAGTACTTTTTCGCTCTTGTCTTGATAAATTGGCCGCAGATATGGCAAAATGCGTCTGCCGGATGCTTGCAGCCTCTTGATGCCATCTCAGAAAAATGCAGATATGTATCCACTTAGGCAGCTGGAACTAAACTGAACTGGTGGGCTTAAGGCCCCTGTATTTATACTATTATTTATATTACTGGAAAGTTCCAGAATGTTCTAGAAGTTACTACAAGTTTACTCAGCACTGAATCTATCTGGAATGTTCTGGAAAATAGGATAATTTCTAAATATCATTCTCCTGGTCACAAAAGCAAAGTTTGTGGGGAATAATAGCCATTTTCTGTACTTTTGAGGCATAAGCAATTAGGAAATAACACTCACTACCCAGGAACAAAAAAAATTGTGTTATTGCAGACCTTGAATCGTACAATGTACTAAAGTGTCCCCATACCCTGGACACCCTTGCAAGCACTATATTCCAGCTCGACTTCCCTGGCTTCCAACTGCCATGGGAACGGGGCAGCACATACCCGGACCCACACGAAGCACGCGAGTTGCACAAGTTGCGAATCAGAGACTCTCCTGTGTGCAACTGCGGCTCCGAAATTAAAACCACGTAGCGCGTGAATTCGCACTGCCCCAAATATAAACGTGAGACTAGGCAATTTAATGGATGAATACGTTTACGGCAGAATTTTTAATAGTTGGCCTTGATTGACCATAAGGAAGGAGATTCAGATATAATATTGAAATAAGTAATATTAAAATTTGCAGCATCCCTAGAATTTTGGCCTAGCTGGTCCCATCCATCAGCCCCTCTAAACCCTGGCCTGACCCACTGTCCAGGACGCCCTTGATGGCCACAGGGGCCTGGAACCACACGCAGTCGTCCTCGCATGGCTGGCCGAGGGCCGTGCCCAGCGGCTCCTCCAGGCTGTTGCTAAACGCGACGACGACCCTCCTCCCGCGGTTGGGCGGCTTGTAGTTGAGCTTGGGCTTGAACCAGTCGACGCCGCAGTCCCTGTGCGCCCACAGCAGCAGTGTGGCCGAGGTGACAGGCAGAGCGCGCGGCTCGCCAAACACATTCTGCACGAAGAGTGAGTGAAACACGTGGCGGCTGTAGCGAGCGTGGCACAGTGAATCACCGCTGCCTCCCAGCGCCAGCTCGTGGAAGTCCAGCTCGTAGAGCTCAAGCGGCGACATGGGGCTCGGCCCTAGCAGGATGAGGACCCGGGGCACGTGCGACAGGGAGAAGAGCGTCTCCAGGTGGCCGCTCAGCTCGTGCAGGGCCGTCAGCATGCGTGCTTCTTGCCTTAACCTGGGGGGCACCTCTGCCTGCAGGGAAGAGGGGAGGGAGGCATTCACACCAGGACGAAAGCCACGGTCTTCAGCCACCAACAGAACTGCTGCCCTGAGATGCAATTGCAGATATTATAAACATCACGTCCAGCATTATTACGTTGTGTCCCACGTCAATATATCCACCTCTACCATCACCGTCACCACAAACTAGAGGCCGACCGAAATTCGGTTTGGGCGCCGAAAGTTGGCAAATGGCCTCTTTCGGCATAGTTTTGGTTTCGGCCGAAAGTAAATTTTTAACTTTCAGTCTGGTTTCGTTTTCGGTCGGCCTCTACTACAAACATCGCAACAGTCACCTGTCACACCATACTATCACCACCACTATATCCGGCACATATTATCCATCATCACATTCACCTCCACCATCACATTTAACATCAGCAGCAACATCGACTATCACCACATCCAACATTTAACTGCCACCTCGCCACCATCGCCCCATTTACGAGTCCTTAAGAGATGCTGTAGTTCAGCGACTGTACTCCATGGGTACAGCGTCATCTAACACGTGAAGGACACCGGCCATAATGATAAAATGTATCTTTACTTTTTATAATCTCACTAGCTTGACTACCTGGCTTCGCCCGGGACGCCCGGCCGTCTTTGTCTCCCCAGTGGCGATGTTCACACACCACACCAGTTACTCGTTTGAGTCGACCTAGGGGAGGCCCAGGACCGGTTCAAATAATCGTGGTGGCCGTGAGCGGGAATCGAACTCGGGTCGCCGGGTTTGTAGCGCGGCGCGCTAACCACTACACTACAATGCGTTACGCTTCCACATGCGCGGGTCACGTGACAGAACTGAAATCACAGCTCACTTGCCGTGCAAAAAATAAATGCATTGAGCTCCCCAACCCCCCTCCCAAAAATAAGAAAGTGTATTTTTATAATTTTTGCATAGTGTACAGTCTGGAAAGTACCCACATGGCAAATTTCCAGTTTGTTGCATGTCGGGAAGTACGCTAAACATTTCGAACAGACACACAATCACAACTTTGCCTTTTATATATATGGAGATTTCTATTACTGTTTAAACATCACCGAAATTATTAAAACCTTAATTTCATGTCGAATGTCGCCCGCTCGTGTCCACCCTTCGCGTCCACAGCCGCTCCGCCTCCACACACGACCCGGGGTCAGGTCTAAACCAATCGGTGACCTTGCGCCCACACACCGAAACCCAAATTGCTGAACCCTCAAAGCCTACACCCCTGCACACTCCACCCCTGCACACTCCACCCCTGCACACTCCACCCCTGAACACGCCACCCCTGCACACTCCACCCCTGAACACTCCACCCCTGCACACTCCACCCCTGAACACGCCACCCCTGCACACTCCACCCCTGAACACTCCACCCCTGCACACTCCACCCCTGAACACTCCACCCCTGCACACTCCACCCCTGAACACGCCACCCTGCACACTCCACCCCTGAACACTCCACCCCTGAACACTCCACCCCTGCAGACTCCACCCCTGCAGACTCCACCCCTGAACACTCCACCCTGCAGACTCCACCCCTGAACACTCCACCCTGCACACTCCACCCCTGAACACTCCACCCCTGCAGACTCCACCCCTGCAGACTCCACCCCTGAACACTCCACCCTGCAGACTCCACCCCTGAACACTCCACCCTGCAGACTCCACCCCTGAACACTCCACCCTGCACACTCCACCCCTGAACACTCCACCCTGCACACTCCACCCCTGAACATTCCACCCCTGAACACTCCACCCCTGAACACTCCACCCCTGCACACTCCACCCCTGAACACTCCACCCCTGCACACTCCACCCCTGAACACTCCACCCCTGAACACTCCACCCTGCACATTCCACCCCTGAACACTCCACCCCTGAACACTCCACTCCTGAAAACTCCACCCCTGAACACTCCACCCTGCACACTCCACCCCTGAACACTCCACCCCTGAACACTCCACCCCTGAACACCCCACCCCTGCACACTCCACCCCTGAACACTCCACCCTGCACACTCCACCTGCAGACTCCACCCCTGAACACTCCACCCCTGAACACTCCACCCCTGCAGACTCCACCCCTGAACACTCCACCCTGCACACTCCACCCCTGAACACTCCACCCTGAACACTCCACCCCTGAACACTCCACCCTGCACACTCCACCCTGCACACTCCACCCTGCACACTCCGCCCCTGAACACTCCACCCCTGAACACTCCACCCCCACCTCACCACTCCCCTCACCAGGTGGCTGTGGAAGTGCAGCAGCTGCGGGTAGGGAAGCGGCAGCTGGCCGCGCTGGTACAGGGCGTGAGCGAAGATCTCCCAGACCAGGGCGCCAAGGCTCCGCTGGCTCACGGCGCCGCGCACCGTCACCTCGCAGCGCCGCGCCGACATCGCCGCCGCCACTCTCCTCTCCTTCCTCCTCCTCTCTCCTCCTCTCCTTCCTCCTCCTCTTCTTCCTCTTCTTCTCACTCCCCTCGCTCGCCCGGCTCCGCTGGCCCGTTAGTCGTCTCCCAGTTAATAAACTGAACAGTTCAAAACGGCGTCACGTGGCCTACCCACCGGAAAAGGGCACGACGGGAAGAAGGGGCGCGGCTTAGGTGAGGGGTTTGGTGAGGGGTTTGGTGAGGGAGGGGTTTGGTGAGGGGTTTGGTGAGGGGAGGGTTTTGGTGAGGGAGGGGTTTAGTGAGGGGAGGGGTTGGTTAGGGGGGTTTGGTGAGGGGAGGGGTTTGGTGAGGGAGGGGTTTGGTGAGGGGAGGGGTTTGGTGAGGGGAGGGGTTGGTTAGGGGGGTTTGAGGGGTTTGGTGAGGGGAGGGGTTTGGTGAGGGAGGGGTTTGGTGAGGGGAGGGGTTTGGTGAGGGGAGGGGTTTGGTGAGGGGAGGGGTTTGGTGAGGGGAGGGGTTGGTTAGGGGGGTTTGGTGAGGGGAGGGGTTTGGTGAGGGGTTTGGTGAGGGGAGGGGTTGGTTGGGGGGGTTTTAGGGGGGTGGTGAGGGGAGGGGTTGGTTGGGGGGGTTTGAGGGGGGTGGTGAGAGGCGTTGCGTGGAGAGGTAAGGGGGAATTTTTATTTAAAGCTTTCGTGACTGCAGTAATTCATATTCTTAGCTCTTTCGGTAAAGTCACGTTGAAGGGAAACAATAAAATAATAAAAAATATATAAAACAATAAAAATTCTCACGACGTTTCGACCATAATACAAACGGTCGTCATCAGGTGCGTCGGTTTGCATTAATTTATTTTAAACGGTGTATTTATTTACTTATAAAAAACCGTCAGCGCCACGCGCAGTGATTTGGCAGTTTATTTAGAAGGACTAGTCCATCTATGTTCTGAAAAGAGGAGGGGGGAAACGAAAAATTAATGTATGCTGTCTGAAAGCCACTGTAAGCGTGAACAATCAATTAAGACCTGAAATAGTTAATCAAATCTTTCCAATGATTGCTAAGCCATTTCAGGTCTTAATTGATTGTTCACGCTTACAGTGGTTTTCAGACAGCATACATTAATTTTTCGTCTCCCCCCTCCTCTTTTCAGAACAGAGCCAAGCTGTGGCTCCACTAAATAAACTGCCAAATCGCTGCGCGTGGCGCTGACGTTTTATATAAATAAATACACCGTTAAAAATAAATACATTAATGCAAACCGACGCACCTGATGACGACCGTTTGTGTTATGGTCGAAACGTCGTGAGAATTTTTATTGTTTTATATATATTTTATTGTTTCCCTTCAACGTGACTTTACTGAAAGAGCTAAGAATATATATAACTCTTATACACAAAAACCTGGCAGGAAGCAAGTAAAAAAACTCTGCCTGGAGGAATTTGTGGCCAGAAGCCGTAACTGAAAGGGACTTTGAGGGCTTTGAGGCTGTGCCTATTGTGGAGGATATTGTCTCTCTGGGCAGGTCCATGGGCCTGGAGGTGAATGGTGATGATGATGTGGAGGAGTTAGTGGAGGGGCACAAGGAAGAGCTGTACCCACTGAGGAGCTGCGGCAGCTTGAGAGGGAGGAACACCAGGTGAAGATGGATGCACTCTCTTCAGGCGAGGAGGAGATAGAGGAAGCCCCTACTTCACTTATTAAACAAATGTGTGCAAAATGCATGGCAGTCCAAAGTTTTGCAAGAAAAATACCACCCCAATAAAGCTCTAACAAGGCCGTAAGAGTATTGTGTGGAATGACCAGACAATGTCACACTTCAGGAACGTTCTTAGAAGAAGGCAAAAACAAACGTCAATGGACAGGTTTTTAGTACAACTCAAACCTGGTGAGCTTCAACCAGGTCCAAGTCAAGAAAAAAGACAGAAAAGAGAAAAAAACCCTCAGAATTTCAGCTTGCTGAAGTTTTAATGGAAGGGGAATCTCCTTCCAAAGAATAACATCTCCTCCTGCTCCTCCCCCTCACCACCATCCTCGTAGGCTATCAACTCCTCTCAGCGAGGTAAAGTGACGTTAAATTTTATTTTTATTTCAATTTATGCATTTATTTTAATGTATGTATGCATTTTAGTAATAAGTAGAGTCTATATTCTTAGCTCTTTCGGTAAAGTCACGTTGAAGGGAAACAATAAAATATATAAAACTATATTGTTTTATATATATTGTTTCCCTTCAACGTGACTTTACCGAAAGAGCTAAGAATATGAATTACTGCAGTCACGAAAGCTTTAAATCAAAAGTAGAGTCTACATTATATTATACAACTCCACTAATGTATAATATGCCATATAAAATATAATTTCTTACACTCTGGAACGGATTATTTCCTTTCACTTTATTTCTTATGGGGAAAAATTGCGTTTGGTGTTCGTCATTTTGGGTATAAGTCCTCCTACCTTCTGGAACGATTTAACGACGCGTACCGAGGTACCACTGTACGTTGTTGTTGTTGGTATTATTAACAAGGCGTTATCGACTATTACATAACATCGCACTTTTCTCACCAAAACGCTCTAAAGCCACCTTCCAACTCGGTCGCGTCGATGTCATTCCGATTTGGATCGATAAAAGAAGCGATGAATACAGTATTAGTAGTACTGTAATAATTATTGTTAATAACCACATCTTGTTACGCCCATTTGATTTCCCCGCGCAAAAAAGGCGGGAAAACCCCCAACGGCAAAGTTAACGTCTAAAAGCTCGCAAGACGTTCATTGGACACAGTCCCCTACACTTGTAACTTTTAACATTTTAGACCTTAATTATTACAAAGTTTTTGTTTATATCATTAAACAATCGACGATAACACCTCGGGCTCTCTAAGGCAGCCGCAGTCACCAATCACCGAGTGTTGTTTAATCGATGTCAGTGATGTAGAGTTCATTTTAAATGTATACAAGTTAATAATAAATGTATATAAGTTAATAAATATAAGTTAATGATAAATATAAGTTAATAAGAAATATAAGTTAATAAATAAAAGTTAATAATAAATATAAGTTAATAATAAATGTATAAAAGTGTTGCGGCGCTTACCAGCGTTGCCGAGTGCTACTGACGGAGTGAAGGCCCTCGAGGCGTGTCACGTGGTCTACAGGACCACGTGGGGGGGTGGGGGAGTGGCCTTGAGGACGGCCCCCTCTTGGGGGGACCAATCAGTGGCCGCCTCGTGCAGAATGCGCGCGCGTGCGCGTGAGTGGGTGGGTGGGGGGGAGGAGCGGTGGTCAGCGAGTCACTCCACGACCCCGGCCCACCCGAGTTCGATTCCCGCTCACGGACAACACCGTCAGTGACGATTATTCTGAACCGGTCCTGGGACTCCCCTGGGTCGACTCGGCCTCAAATGAGCACCCTGGGTGCCTGTGCGTAGTAAACGTCGCGATTGGGGAGACAAAGGCGGACGGGCGCGTGGCGTTGGCCACGGTGTGCCGTGTCGGCCTTAATAGGCGCTCGCTAACAATACCCCCGGTAGTCTGTCAGGGCTACACGGGGGATCTGTGTGTGTGTGTGTAGAGGCGCAGCCCCTGCAATTGCTTGCTCAGACCACTCATGGCTGGCGGAGGAGACTTTGACCGGAAGCTTCAATCACAACGAAGTGCTATGAAGAGAGACCATTGGCGTAACCACCTGTCACGTGCATTGTTTTTACCATGAGAAATCACTATTATTGACTCGTGCGGTGGTGAGTCGTTTTGCTATTTGTGCACCACTGACAGCGCAGCATCACCACGTTATTTGCTCAAGCAGAAGGAACTCTTAAGAGAGGCCCTCTTAGTGGGTAAACTTAGCCTACTTCTCCACACGGGCCAGGTGCCTTGGGAGAGGTTGTGAGTGTCCACACTCTACCCCGACACACGCGGCCTGCTCCTGAGTGGAGGTCGGTGAGTGGGCGAGTGAGTGGGTGAGTGAGTGAGTGAGCGTGAGTGAGTGAGCGAGTGAGCGTGAGTGAGTGGGTGAATGAATGAGTGGGTGAGTGAGTGGGTGAGTGAGTGAACGGATGAGTGAGTGGGTGAGTGAGCGTGAGTGGGTGAGTGAGTGAACGGGTGAGTGAGTGGGTGAGTGAGCGTGAGTGAGTGAGTGGGTGAATGAGTGGGTGAGTGAGTGGGTGAGTGAGTGGGTGTGAGTGGGTGAATGAGTGAGTGGGTGATTGAGTGGGTGAGTGATTGAGTGAGTGGGTGAGTGAGTGGGTGAGTGAGTGGGTGTCAGTGAGTGGGTGAGTGAGTGACTGAGTGGGTGGGTGAGTGACTAGGTGGGTGAGTGACTGGGTGGGTGGGTGAGTGGGTGGATGGGTGGGCGAGTGGGTGGGTGGGTGAGTGACTGAGTGGGTGGGTGAGTGAATGGGTGGGTGGGTGAGTGGGTGGGTGAGTGAGTGGGTGGCTGCGTGGATGAGTGGATGATTGAGTGGGTGGGTAGTTGAGTGGGTGAGTGAGTGGGTGGGTGAGTGGATGATGGGTGAATGAGTAAGTGAGTGGGTGGTTGAGTGAGTGGTTGAGTGAGTGGTTGAGTGAGTGAGTGGGTGGTTGAGTGAGTGAGTGGTTGAGTGAGTGAGTGGTTGAGTGAGTGGGTGAGTGAGTGAGTGGGTAAGTGAGTGAGTGGGTGGGTGAGTGAGTGGGTGGGGTGGCTGAGTGAATGGGTGGATGGGTGGCTGAGTGAGTGGGTGAGTGAGTGGGTGAGTGGCTGAGTGAGTGGGTGAGTGAGTGAGTGGGTGTGTAAGTGGGTGAGTGGATGATGGGTGGGTGTCATAACCCTCCACCACCCGACACGGCCAATCAGCAAAAAAAGTGTCACGTTGACAAAAGACAAAATAGCTCACTACTTTAGCCCACCGGTGTGTTGAAGAGTGAATCCACAACATTTACACATTTTTTTTAATACGACGTTTCACTGGAAATTACATCCAGCATCATCGGGCATTAGAGGGGTTGTTTGTTATTGCTGTGCAGCGTGTCCTCGTGTGACTCTGGGGATAGGCATGGGACGCCCCCCGGTGCATATCCCTTTTTGTTATCAAAACCCCCATGATTTGGTGACTACAAATATATAAAAAAAGCAATAAGGTCCAAGGTTGTTAAAAATAAAATGTAAAAAACCCACCACCATTGAACAGCGAAAATAACAAACCAATCGCGGAGCGCACCGTCCAGTGCTGCAGCAGTACCCGGGTGGCACACTGGGCAGCACCCAGGTGGCACACTGGGCAGCACCCGGGTGGCACACTGGTGGCACACAGGGTGGTACCAGTGTGGTACACTGGTGGCACACTGGTGGCACACTGGTGGCACACTGGGTGGTACCAGTGTGGCACACTGGTGGCACACTGGTGGCACCCGGGTGGCACACTGATGGCACCCGGGTGGCACACTGGTGGCACACTGGTGGCACACCGGGTGGCACACCGGGTGGTACCAGGGTGCCGCCTGTGTACAGCCAACTGAGCTGCTGTGTACCACTTTTTCAGAAGCGACCCGACCATCACAGACGACAGCTCAACTGAGTGGCGAAGCGTCGTCATCATCATCATCACGTGGACATTTATAGCGGCAGTCAAATACTCTAAACGGGTCATCGATGTTGATTCTAAATGTGGATTAGAAAAATCCACCCGACCATGGGGAGAGAGACACAAATATACAGCAGCAGCAGGCGTCGGGGTCGAACCCACGACGTCCTGTAGACCAGGCGAGGTAGTCAACATCTCCTAGCCACCATGGTGATGAGAGAGACACGCAAACGCCAAATATACAGTGGCAGGCACACTACACTATACACTACACTATACATTACTATACCCTACACACTACACTATACATTACTATACACTACACTATACATTAATATACACTACACTATACATTACTATACACTACACATTACTATACACTACACACTACACTATACATTACTATACACTACACAGTACACTATACATTACTATACACTACACATTACTGTACACTACACACTACACTATACATTAATATACACTACACACTATACATTACTATACACTATCCATTACTATACATTACTATACACTACACATTACTATACACTACACACTACACTATACATTAATATACACTACACACTACACTATACATTACTATACACTACACATTACCATACATTACACACTACACTATACATTACTATACACTACACATTACTATACACTACACACTACACTATACATTACTATACACTACACACTACACTATACATTACTATACACTACACAGTACACTATACATTACTATACACTACACATTACTGTACACTACACACTACACTATACATTAATATACACTACACACTATACATTACTATACACTATCCATTACTATACATTACTATACACTACACATTACTATACACTACACACTACACTATACATTAATATACACTACACACTACACTATACATTACTATACACTACACAACACACTACACTATACATTACTATACACTACACATTACTATACACTACACACTACACTATACATTACTATACACTACACACTACACTATACATTACTATACACTACACTATACATTAATATACACTACACACTACACTATGCATTACTATACACTATAAATTACTATACACTATCCATTACTATACATTACTATACACTACACACTACACTATACACTACACTATACATTAATATACACTACACTATACATTACCATATACTACACACTACACTATACCTTACTATACACTACACACTACACTATACATTACTATACACTATACATTACTATACACTACACACTACACTATACATTACTATACACTACACATTACCATACACTATACACTACACTATACATTACTATACACTACACACTATACATTACTATACACTACACATTACCATACACTACACTATACATTACTATACACTACACACTACACTATACATTACTATACACTATCCATTACTATACACTACACACTACACTACACATTACTATACACTACACACTACACTACACATTACTATACACTACACACTATACATTACTATACACTACACATTACTATACACTAGTGATGTATACGTGTAGCAGTGAAGCCGGTGCCAGGCTAGGTGCACCTGCTTTAGTGATGTAGCAGTGAAGCAGTGAAGCCGGTGCCAGGCTAGGTACACCTGCTGTAGTGATGTATCTGTGTAGCAGTGAAGCCGGTGCCAGGCTAGGTGCACGTCGTGTTGCGGGTGGAAGGAACAACCTGAAGCCCTCCTGATTGGTCCAAGTGGCACCCAGCCACCCCAAACCATCGCCTCCTCCGATTGGACGGTGCCTCTGAGCAACGTGCGCTCCTATTGGCTAAGCTGCGCAGATCGCATCATAGCCGATTCGATTCCTAATTATAGCTCAATACGATTTAGCCGCTGTTCAACAAAGAGGGCGGTAGGCATCGATGATCGATTCTATGAATCGTTTGTCAATGCGTTCTTAGATTGGAGAGAATCTAATTTTTTTACGGTGAAGGTGAATATCGATTCTGATGGAACGAGTCGGGGAATGAATCGAAACTACGGAATCGCGTTTAGATCCACACTAGTGTTAGTGAATTTTTAAAAAATATTTTTAAGCAGGAAATTCGTTTTAAAATTTAGATTATTTTTTTTCTCCATGGCTACGGCCTTGATGTATGCACACACATACACGTGTTGAGATATCGCACCTTCAATTAGCAAGGTTGGCGTAATCTCGGACCGGTTTGATCTCGTGATAAGACGCTTGGACATGGCCTAAACGGTAAAATAACACAGCGTTTACAGAAAGCAAACGCACACTGATGCCTATCTGAATGCAGAATCGCATCATCATCATCCAGCTCAGAAATCCTCTCTTATCAAGACGCTCATACATCGGGCTAAAACAGTGTCTGATGGTGAGAGTCTAGTGAGAGAGATTAAACACGTTAAAGACGCACTACGACAGAATGACTACAATAATGCTCAAATTAACAGCACTGAATGCCAAATCACGATCGCAAAGCAATACTGCTGAAAGCGACCAGATTGTTAAAACAATAAAAAATTCCATATATCTTAGGAG